GGCACCCTCGGGCCGCCCGCCTCCCCGCGCTCTGCCGCGCGATTCGCGACCTAGCCGGATTCTTCCAGATCCTTCTAGATCGCCCGCCCTCACCCCGCACCCGAGCCTCTCCACCGCCCGGGTCCGCCCTGTGAATTGCGGCCGAGCGGCAGCGCGCCCGCCTCCCAGGCCGCGCCATAAACACTGACGGCGTGGCCTCCCAGCTTGCTCCGCGTGGCCGCCTAGTGAGCTGGGGAGGCGCGGCTGGGGATGCGGGCGGGGCAGCGAGCAGAATGCGGGGAGGCCACCTGAGTGTCCCGCGGGCCGGGGACCTGGCCACCCCCGGCTTCGCGGTTATCAGCTCTTGAAAATGCACAGAGCAGCCGATTTGCAGTAAGTGACCTGCTGAGCTTAGGGCTCGTAAGTGGGGCACGCGTTAAAGGGACCTTCTCTGGCAATGAAACTGCCGTTTCTCTAAATACTAAAAAAAAAAAAAGGTCTCAAGTCCCTAAAAAAAAGTCATTCCATTTTACGAAAGGCCCTGGGGAGGAATATTTTCTTTCGGTGTTTGGTTCCCAACTGTTCCCACTGCCGGTGGGTTTACGAAGCGTGTGCTAGGGCCGAACTGCAGCGCCTAGCGGGTGGATGGGCGCGAGCTCCGTCTACAGGGCCCTGCTTTTGCTCCGCACGCAGCCCCAGTTGAGCGTAGTGCCAGGAGGGTGGGAGCAAACAGTCAGCGGCCCACGAGTGTTTGTGGCGGTGAGAGCAAACGTGCTTTGGCCCTCACCGTGTGCCTGCCAGGGTGCCGTTGCTGCGGGCGACCTCATGTCGGAGCTTGGAGAAAGCTGGTACAGAGGAGATCTCAGCATCGCGGCGTGGAAGTTCACTGGGGTTCCTTCTGGTGGAACGGGACTGGAAGGGGACGCAGAAGAAACGAAGCTGTTCTCCAGTTTCCAGTCTGAGTTAGCCACGGAAATAGTTTCTCATTAGGTGATGAGATCACCGCAGAGGGCTTGGAAGGGTGCCTCCGTAAGGGGTTAATCCATTCTTTCTCTGCAGAAGTAGCAGTTCCAAGACCCGCCTACCGCTCCCACTCCCAGGCCTCTGCCCCGGCCAAAACCAAACCGGACCAAACCAAGCAGACCCTCGGAGCCCGGGCGGTGGAGAGCCGCAGCAGGACGGCAGTTAGTCGCTGGCAGCCTCTGCCGCTGGCTGGTGCACCTGCGGAGGCTCGGCGTGTGATAGGACCCCTGGGTTTTATCTGGCAGAACAGATCAGGACGGGAGCGTCACCTCAGAGTGATGCTTTTGTGTCCCCCCCCCCCTTAAAACCTGGCAGCAGACAGCGTCGTCTAGCTGCCTCGATTCTATTCAGCGCAAACTAACTGGGCACTTGGGCTGTGCGACAGCCTTTGCACGGACACTGACAGCGGGAAAGCCGTGCTTTGGAGGAAGGGAAGAGCTGGTCGCCCAGGGCTAGCAGTTGGATTTGGGGCAGGTTACTCACCTTTCAGTGTTAAGTGCATGTCTGTAAAATGGGGCTGGTGACTTCTGGAGAAGAGGGTGATTCGAGGTTAAAGGGGAGGGAACGTCTCTCCGTCTCTCCAAGCCGTGGTTAATGCATAATAGTGACTGTTCTGAAGTACTAAGCGCAGGATGTGGGTGAGGACGAGGGCTGAGGAAGCGGATCTGGAAGAGGGAGGCTGGGCTGGCTCAGGGTGAAGGCCAGGCTCGCACCGCACAGTTGAGGGGCCGTGGACACTGGGGCCCTGAATCCCAGAGCAGGGCCTTATTGCTTCTGGGATTTCCCATTTTTTGCATTATATTTTTAGAATGGTAAAACACCATGGGTTCCCAGGGTTTAGTGCCATCCCTCCTCCTTTCCCCTTTCTTGACCCATTTCAAGTTGGTATTCTTTATAAAGATCTGTAAGGGCTGTCACACAGAATCCTCCCGTGATTCCCCGTGTTTGCAAGAGCTCTCTTGGGGACTCGGGCAGGGGTCAGAGCTTTGTCACTGACACGGCGAGAGGCTGGTCTCCCGAACTCTGGAGCTCTCCTTTACACAGAAAAACCCCTTGTTTTTCACGGTTGATATCAGTCTTAGGCTGCCAATGCATGTGAACATTTACAAAATTATGTTGTGTTTATTTACTGTATTAATTAAATAAATTATGTATTTATTATTATTATTTAAGTTTACTGTAGGTCACGTGTGCTCACCAGAGGGGACAGAAGGAGAGAGGGAAAGTGAGAAAGCAAGCCACCAGGTCCAGAACTTGAACCCTTGAACCACAGTCAGCTATGTGGGAGTCTAGCGCCTTAACCACACCACCTGCTGGCCTTAAAATGATATATTTGAATCCTTCAAGAGAGTGTGAAGTGTATGTGTGTATGTGTGCATGTCTGAATGCACACATGTAGCATACTTACAGGGAAGTCAGGAATCCACCAGCCAGTCGTTAGAACTGATAGGTTTTGTGTCAAAAATGCAGTGCTGGAAGATTGAAGACTCTTACATAATTGCTAGGTAATTCTGGTGCCTGTCGATTGAGAAGACTCAAACTATCCTGACCAAAGGCGCTGCTGTGCGTTTCACAACATTTATTTATTTTACTGATTTCAGCTCCATTTTCTCTCTCTCTCTCTCTCTTTTTTAAGTTTTTGCTGTTCGGCACCTGTGCTTTCCAGAGAGGAAGGAAGAGTGAGAAATTAACCCTTAGGGGGATAGCCACACTGCAGTCCCTTCTCCCGTCTCCTCTTGGGATTTTGGACATGTACACACACCTACCTGGTATGATTTTCAAGCTGGGTCCAGGACTTGAACTGCTATCAACCATGTGGGAATCCAGTGCCTTAACTACTATGCCACCTGCTAGCTCACTCTCTCTTTTTTAATTGCCAGAGAGCATATACACGTGTCAGAAGAAAGAGAGAGAACGCATCCCCCCCACCCCCGCCGTGGAAATGTGGTCACGTCCCAATCCCTTCTCCATTTCTCCATCCAATCAGGCCTGGGACTCCC